ATATTTAACTATTTTTTGTTAATAGTAGATATTATAGACTCTATTTTCAGGTGCATTCAGGTCATAATGGCTCTTTGGATTTTAAACGTTGCAGATCCCTGGTATAGGTGTTTGGTTTTTTTTATTGAAAACAAGAAAAAAAGGTTTCATCAAACTGTAAAAATGTAAAACAAATATTTAATTTAAATCATAAGAGGCCTAATTTTAATCTGAATTTATGTGATGCATATGCTTGCCTTTATAGAAGTTCATAAGTTATAATTATTATATTACTTTTAATAAAAGTAAGACTAATGTACTTGATTCCTTAATCTGTTATGATTTGAACTAAATGTTTCTGTCCAGCTTGTTGAATGATAAGAAAAATGAAATAATTTGGTTTCACCATCTTTGTGTTCATCATTGGGTTTATATTTTCTTAGGAGAAAATGATTTTATTAGGCATCTGTATAATTCTTACCTATATTTTTGATGGGCTGAACAGCTTTTTAGATTTTTTTTACAAAGAAAATTGTACAGTAGTTTGAAAAGAAACATAATAACAGATAAAATTTTTCCCAGATCATTGCCAGGGTGAGTGTGGACAACCGAACCCGTGCTCTGGTCCAGGCTCTCCACCGAGCGTCAGATGTCAGGGTCTACATCAGCAGGGTGGAGGACTTAAGTTACCACCTGCTGGAGTTTCCAGAGACCCGTGGTGTTGCAGTCAAGGTGAGAATCTGTGAGATGACAGCCTTTCCTCTTTCCCCTCTTTTTTTCTCCTTGTTGGTTCCTTTCAATGCTGTAGTAGATCTTCAACTGCTTTTAGGCTCAGTCAACAAATTTAGAACTTTAAATTACAGTCATCTGTTTGTATTTTTGTGAATAAAATGAAATTCAGGGCAAGTAGCACTGTTGCCTTGCAGCAGGAAAGTCCTGGGTTTTAATCCACCTTTCTGCATAATCTCCCTGTGCATGTGTGGGTTCTCTTCGGGTACTCCGGCTGCCTCCCAAAGTCCAAAAACATGACTTTTAATTGACTTGTCTAACTTCTCCTTAGATGCGAGTGTGTGTCCTGGTTGTTTGTCCTGTTTGTCTCTGTGTTGCCCTGCGATAGACTGGCGACCTGTCCAGGGTGAACCCCGCCTCTCACCCATTGACAGCTGGATAAGGCACCAGCATCCTTCGCGACCCCAGCAGGGTTAAGCGTGACGTAAAAATGGATGAAATGAAATTCCCTTCATCCAGGAAAGAATGGGGGGAAAAAGTGAATAGAGCCCCCTCACCCATTTTTTTTATTTAACACAGATTTTAGTTCATGATTCATATATTTATCTTTAATTTATATGATAAATATGAAATAGATTAAAGCTCTATAAAGGATTCTTCTACTGATACTGCCACCTGTGTTCAAAACACAGAAGTGCAGCATTCTTCTGCTGGTTCTTGTAACTCGTGCTCAGACTTGACAATTTTTTATTTTTTTATTTTTTTTCCACCTTACGTGTAGTTATTATATGAGCTGAGCTGAAAGTCGGCTGCTTCTGAATATCCACAGTATTCATCTTGAATACAATGTTTTGATTGTTTGCTATCTTGGAACTATTAACATAGACGCGTTTCCCGTCACGTTCCTCGAAAGGTGCGCAAACTTCCAACACAAAGTAAATGAAGGAAAATAGGCTCCAGGCTTATAGGCGCTGAACAACTGAGCTGTCACTCTGCTTATCAAACATATTTTAGTCTTAATAAAAAGGCTGTTTTAAAGATATTTTTCCATAGAAACTTTCATAATGTCTCTTTAAGGAATGTCATACTGATTTCAAGTTGTTTTTAGATCAGTTTCCACCTTTGTCTGATGCTAAATGACACCTGGGTTAATGGTGGTTGTTGATACCTGCTGCCATCATGTGTTTTTTAGCTGCTCAATCCAGAGATAACACCTAAAACTGTCATGAGGACAACATTGTTCTCATGGAACATGCTTACGTCTTCTAAGCGTCGCAGTTCCACCCTTGTTAACTTAAAAGGTGTTTACTACAACAAGAACTTAAGGCTGATTTATATTTCGAAACTCGGTCGTCTGCGTAGGCACCTCTCTCAAATTGTAGGTGGCTCCAGACAGGAGGCATCTGATTGGTAAAATCTACAACTGCTCTACACTAGGCATATTTCTTGTTTGGTACCTTAAAGGCTTGTTTCATTTGTATTACCGCCATCGTGGAAACAAATCGTGAAGTTGGACCAGCTAGAAGAGCGAGATGATCAACATCCGCTCTACACTATGCGTCTCCTGTTTGGTACCTTGCCGGCTTGTTTTGTTTGTATGAGCGCGATTGTGGAAAAGAGCTCGTGAAGTTGAACCAGCTAGAAGAGCGAGATGTACGAGAACGCTGGGACCCTTTTTCCACCTGGATCCCGGCTCTTTTTCGCCCACATGTCCCCCGTAGTCAGACAAACTTGCCCCCATTTCCTCACCGCCTCGGCCGTATCTAGACCCACAGCTCTCTTGCGTTGTGGCATGAAATAAGCGCAGACCAAGCTTCAATATTGAGCACAAATCAATAATGTCTGTGTCATACCTGCGACAAGCTCACTGCGGCACACTGCTGTGAAAGTATAACCAGCCCTTTAGACTGATCAGTTTAGAGAAATATAAGTGTTACCTTTATAGACACTAAGCTTTTGCTTCTAATCCAAGTGGTTCATGAGGAGCATCTAATTCATTTCCTATGTGTCAAGATGGCGGTCCACTGCATAAAGGACTGCATGTTGGAGGAAGCTAAGAACTTCCTGTTAAACCCATGGAGCAGCACAGGAGTGCCAACAGCTCTGAGGAAAGTTTAGTGGTAAACCTGCACCTGAGAATGAATGGCACGTCACCAACATGTTCGGATCTAGACAGAAAACAGATAGTTTGAAAAAAGGGTGAAGAAAAGCTGACACTAAACAGAGGGGGAATGATACCGGTTTCTATTCTCAGTTATATATAACCCTGTCTTGAAACTCTTTCCAAAGTAATTACATAAGCAGTCTCATTGTGATTCAGATGGCCAAATACAAAACAACAGGCCCCAGCAACCAGGAGAATGAGAGGTGGGTCACCGATTTGCATCTGACCTGGAAGCCATCTAATAGGATGTTGCTCAACAAGGAAGACTCCCAGATTTCTTTAAAATGTTTTTAGATGAAGGGAAAAGTCAGCTTCCGTCCAGTTTAAGCCTGTTTTGTGGTTGCTATGATCCGAATTACTAATTTACGCAGGGTTATATAGTGGAATCAGCTTATAGTGGTCACGGATATAGTAATCAACCACTTATGGTTTTCAAAAGGTTTGGGACCGAATCATTTCTATACATATGCTGTTTAAATAATTTGTTTATAGTAATAAAGGAATCCGCTTATGGCGTTCATACTTGGCCATTTTATGAATGTAAACATGCAAAAATAATTAATAAATGGATCGAAAGTGATAACAGCACTCCGGTGTCAGAGCCCGTGATGGATGAGGACATCATCACAGAGGTACAAGAGCCCTTTGGTGCGGGTACCAGTGCTGTGCGCAGCGAGGAGGGGGAGGAGGATGAGGATGAAGAAGTGGAGACTGTTGTCTCTTCTAGAGCTGAGAGAAGAAATGCAGTTTGCATTTTAAAGACTGGTCTCCTACATGTTGGTTTCAAAAACTTTGACCTTTTACATCATTTTGAAAAAGAAGTGAAATTGGTGTTGGACAACACACTGATCCAGGGAACCATGGATAAATATGTTAAGTGATTTCTTAATGCGGAGCAGCAGATCTGCAACACAAAACAGATGTAGGCTAGCTTAAATTTTCTGTAGCCTATGCAGTTAGGTTCTATGTTGTTGTTCTATGAAACAATTTGTTTATGGAAGTAACTCTGTGTCGCTGGGATTTGAATTAAAAATTCCACTGAAATTTAAATGTTGTATGTTTGTACTTACTGTTTCAGTGTTAAAATATATTCAGAACACATTTTTTAACTAAAAAGAAGTTCATTGTCATTATTTCTACACAGTTGAAATTTAATTTGTTATTTTCTCTTCAAGCTAAAAAATGTGCATATAAAAAATTTCAACCTTTCAAAATTCAAATATTTTCAGTCTCCTGAGATTCAACTTGCTCTATTTCACTGTCTTAAATTCGGCGTCTAAATTCAGCGTAAAAAGGGAAGGGGTTACTTCAGGTCACAGACATTAGCAATGGATTGTGGTGTCCAACACCCAGGCAATCTCGTTACGTTTTCTTAGTCACGTGATGTGACGCTTGTGGCGCTCATACGTAAGGAAAACCAGCATGACGGAGCCGCTCATGCAAGCTAATGCTAACTCAACGGTGAGTTTATTACTTTCATTTTTCTGTAGTTGAGTTAGCGTTAGCTTGACCGGCTCCGTCAAGCTAGTTTTCCTTCCAGAGCGCCACAAGCGTCACGTCACATGACTAAGAAAACGTAACGGGATTGGCTGGGTGTTGGACGCCACAATCCATTGCTAATGTCTTTGACCTGAAGTAACCCTTCCCTTTTTACACTGAATTTAGACGCCGAATTTAAGACAGTGAAATAGAGCCAGTTGAATCTCAGGAGGCTGAATATATTGAGTTTGAAATTTGAAAGGTTGAATTTTTTTATATGCAGATTTTTTTAACACTGAAAAATTAAACTGAAAAATAAGTATTGAAAATGTATCACTTTGAAATAGTAATGTGAATTTTTAGCTTGAAGAGAAAATAAATGAAATTTCAACTGTGTAGAAATAATGACAATGAATTTTTTTTTAGGTCAAAAATGTGTTCTGAATATATTTTAACACTGAAACAGTAAGTACAAACATACAACATTTAAATTTCAGTGGCATTTTTGATTCAAATCCCAGCGACACAGATTTTCTTCCATATTTGTTTCAAACTTCAGAAAAAATGCACCGGCGGCACCTGGCTACCAGAGTTATGTCTGCGCACAGCGCAGTATACTGTAATTAAACTTGCATGGTACTGTAATAAAATTCAGTAAATGCGGAAGCTATCCGTTTCATTTCTTTTTTCTCAAATGGCATTTAGTTGATATTCTGCATAAAAAAATAAGTAAAATAACGGTAAATTCGGATATAGTAATCAACCACTAGTGTACAAATTGGCTCTGGACCAACGTGATCACTATATAAAGACTTTCATCTGTTTAGATTTATTTCAGCACTTTTTGCTGAAAACTTGACCTATACCAGACTGCAGTAAGTGAAACCAAGTTCATTGCTGTTTTAGGTTTGCTTGATCATTTCTGACCTGTAATTTACTTGTGCATTTTTATGTAAACGTTGCCAGTGTAAAGGGTTGGACCTTCTTAGGCTTTCTGAAGTGAATAAATTCTTCATTTCATAGCTTCAGCAGCGTCACATAAACATTTCCTACTTAGATTTTTTTGACCGTGGAACACATAATTCTTTCTCTGCCACCTGAAAATCCCAGGTGAAATCTATATTTTCCATCTTTGGTACCTTTTTTTTTTCACATCTGTGTTCTTCCAAGTTTACAGACCAGGAAACTGTAGGCTTCGTTTCTTCATGTTGCTCATCTTCCCCAATCTTTTTCCTGTCTTTCTATTGTTTGTTTTTTACCTACCTGCTGAATTTCCCTTTCATCTCCAACATAAACAAGTATTTTTTTTAATAACTTACCTGCAATTTATGAAATGTATTCTCACTTTTGGATGGTTCTCTGCAAACTTAAGCCATCACTGTGAAAATCCAGATAGTTTAGCATCGTTCTGATGCTCGGTCTGTCGTGCGGCGAGTTGTTTTTACTTCTAAATGCATTGATTTGCTGCTATGCATGTTTGCAAGCAATTAAACAGCAGTAATTAATTCAGTGTCCAGTGAATTTATTCAAAATCTTTTTTCTTTTTTTACCGACACCTCAGTCTTTATACACTGCTAGATGTTTCCCTTTCTGGTTGGCTGATCTATGGGGAACATGCATATCGGAACTCTTGTCCATTTGGAAATTGTGTTAGGGCATCGTAATCAGTAAAAAACTGTTATGACCATAGATGTATTTAAAACAGGGATGGATGATAGCAGCCGTTCTGACTGTCAGTCTTTTTTTGGGCTTTAGAAATGGTATTTCGACTTCTGAGTCCTGGTTTGATCCAGCAGCGTTTGGATTAAGCATATACTATAATAGTGGTTTTTGAGTGTTATGAAAGAACATTAGAAATGTTTTTTTCCCTCTAAAAAAAGAAAGCAATATGTTTAATACCTCTCTTACACTTCATCTGTTCCAGTTCTCTAAGCACCTCTGTTTTTTTTTTAACTAAATGGTCCGTTTCTGTCGATACTTCTTTATATTAGATCAATAGCATCTTTATTTCCCACTGCTGACCGCTGGTTTATATTTCCATGTTTGTCAGGAGAAGGTCATCCCTCGTCTGCTGCGTTTGGAGCAGGCCAACGATCCCGGCTTAAGGGCTGCAGTCAGAGAGGCTCTCGCCTTGGTTGGATATCATAAACCTGTCAAAGGCCGGGGGATACGAATCTTGTCCATAGACGGAGGAGGTTTACGGTACAGATTTAAAGCTTTTTCTTCTTTTTTTGCTGACAAATATGTATTTTGCATGAAATATCTTTTTTTAAAATAGATCCGAATTAGATTTTGGACTATGTCAGAAGTCAGGCATGAATGTTCAGTCAATGCTTTCTGTTTGAATAGACCTGCTGCTGCTGTGTCTCTCCATATGTATTAACCAGGCGTCTATGTTGGATATTATTCCCTCAGGGGAGTCCTTGCCCTTCAGACCTTAGAGAAGCTGGAAGCCCTGACTGGCAAACCCATTTACAAGCTGTTCGACTATATTTGTGGCGTCAGCACAGGTATGTTGTCCTCCTGTCCTACTTCTCTGTGTGCAGACTGAAGCCTGTAGGTCGATTATGAAACACTAAGAAGGGTTCTGGCTGAACTAGCAGCAGAGATCTCTTAGTGACCCATTTTTGGCTCCACTTTAGTTTTGACCTAAATTTCCTTGACATCATTGTTGAGACTTTATACTTGTGTTCATTCAATTGGCTATAATAGAAATATCGACTTTATTCTTTACAGAAATTAGGCGTGGAAAGCGGCTACATTCTACAATTAAGCCGAAATTCTTTATTTTAAATTATTTCCATTTAACCAAAAGTTTTGTTTACAATAAAAGGGAATGTAAAACGATGAAGGAAGATTATTTCTGTTTTTATTTACATTTTGATTGAAGAAAATTGCAAGTTATTTTTAATATTTTCAGTTACACATTTTTTTTTTAGCTTCCAGACATGATTTCTTGTAAATAATTTCATTACGAGGAATAAAAATGTGAAATTCTGAAATAAAACTTTTCTTTTTATGTATGTTTATAACCAATTTATTTTTATCCAACTAAATGATTCCTTTTTTTTCTTTTACTTACTAAACAAACATCCAAAGAAAGGCAATAAAAAAAAGTCCACTTCACAGATTTTGTTGTTTGTTTAGGATCAGGGGAACAAACAGGTCACGTGGTTCTTCAGCTGGATTCTGTTTAGATTACAACAAATGTCAAACAAATCATTATAACATCTTTTCCCCCATTGGTCATAAAAAAAAACAAAAAACATTTGCTTAAAAAAAGCTTTTAAAAAAGCAGTGAAAACAGTGAAATCCTTTAGCAAAATGATTAATTTTAGCCTAACTTCAGTACTGTTTTGTACGGAAGAGGATTAGGGCCACTGAAAAAAAAAAAAAAGTTAACTGATTTTAAAGATTGACTTTAATCTCAGAATTCTGACTCTTTTCT